CTGTACCAGACCACACTGTCTATTACTGAATCCGTGCCAGATCTCACCCTGTCCAATACCCATTCTGTCCCAGACGTCACCCTGTTCATTACCAGAACTATTGATGGTCAACAATGGAAACCACTTGAAAATAAGAATTTTGGAAGATTCAAGCTATTTTCTAGCTTTCTCTTGTTAAATCGCGTTGTAGCCAATTTATTTAAGGATATGTATATAACTGAATATCCCTGTGTTTTTGTACAGACCCAGATTATATCAGCCTGGAAGAGCTGGGGAAAGTTGAAGGCCTTCTCTCCCATTTGACACGCGAGTCTAAGCAGGCAGCATCTACTGCACTGGTGAGTACTACAGAGCTACCTGTAACCCTCTTGGGGCAGCAGTTGTGTGAAGCCTCGCTTTCACTGACATCAGAGCTTGGGAAGATAGCCCCAGTGTTTGCTATGTTCTAGGCTTCAGGATGTGGAGTGTGTTAAGTCTGAAGAAATGTACAAGCTTGAAAATGCAGACACTTCATTAAGAATGTAATAGACAATGGAACTCAGAAATTAGCCGCTCTCAGAGATCAAAACTACATTATCTGGACTCTTAAGGATTTCAACCCAGCGGAGTAAACTACAAGACAACAGTGATCAGACTTCAGAATTGATTTATTCACTACGAGGTACATGGAATCAACTGAAGTTATGAAAGGGTTGTAAAAATGCAAGTTTTTTTTAAAATTGAATTTTCAGCTGTAGGAGAAGAGCTACACACCTGATATACAGCAGCACTGTGAGGGTGAATCAGTTCAAGGTTTTTGAGAAGATTTGTAGCTTGGGTTGTTGATGCGGTGCCGTGTTCCAGATGCAATGCAACTGGTCAAGCTACTCAACGTTAAGTAAAACACAATTTATTTAAGCATCATAGTTAGAATACAAACAAAAGGAAGAGCAATTTAGAATAATAAAACTATTAGAAAACCTAACAGAATAATTGATACATTACCTATTTCTAATTAACTGTTATAATATAGTAACATACCATAAACACACCCCTTGGCTTAAAGGCAAATTCTCATATGCAGTTCTCCAATCCAGGAGGAAAGAACATCAAGAGAAAATTCAGAGAAATTAGCAGCTAGGAGACATTGACTGAAGCTTCCAACTCTTTTGAGACCCCAAGGCTTTTGTGTTACTCAGAAACCCTGATCTGTGACAGCTGGCCACACCCATTCAGGCTGTTAAGAAAAAAAACACCAAGACTTCAAAAATTATTTACACAAGTGGTCTGGTAGTCAGCTCAATACCTCTTTCTTACAAACTCTCTTCAAAAAAAAAAACACCAGCACAAAAAGTGACAGTATTGTCACACTGTGGAGTATCACAGGGTGTCTCAGTATCTCCTGTGGGATATCGGGTTGTCTCTGTATCTGATGGAGGGGTATCACAGAGTGAATCAGTATCTGATGCGGTGAGTTTATAGGAGTGTTTTCCAGCTCCTGGTGCAGCTCTTTTTAAAGTAAATGTCCTACATTGTCTGTGCGTTATTCCTGGAGTTTCCTGACCGTACTCATTTCAGCCATTCTAATGTATTGCACTCTGAGCCTGGCCCTTCAGATAAATCTGGAGTTTGATTTTAAAACTCAAACTACTTTTAAGCAGAGGTGAGGAGAGTCACCTTCTCAGGGATTGACTGAAAGTGATAGTACAGATCTGAGCATGGAAACTGCACAGAACTTGTGCTGAGGGAATTGCATCAGAATGAATAATTGACAGCACAGGCACTCAGTACTTCCCACACACTTTGCAGCTACTGACTCAGCAGCTTTTAACTCTACTGCAACATTGCTGTGTCCTAGCTGCCTGATCTTGTCAGTTCCACCAGCTGTGTGAAGAAATTGGGCTCAGTCTGATGCCTCTGGGGCCAAGCACATCAACTTTCTGACTGCATAACTCCTCCTCCACCTCCCATCAGTCCTCTGTCTAAAGTAGGTATGGCTAGGTGATGGCCTCATGGCATTATGGCTAGACTGTTAATCCAGAGACCCCAATGTTCTGGGGACCTGGATTTAAATCCCTCCACAGCAGATGATGGAACTTGAATTCAATCTATCAGGAAATAAGAGTAGGAAAGTGACCATGAAACCATTGCCGATTGTCAGTTAAATCCATCTGGCTCACTGATATCCTTCAGGGAAGGAAATCTGCCATCCTTACCTGGTCTAGCCTACACACGACTCCAGACCTACAACAATGCGGTTGCCAATTTTAAAAATTGTCTGGGCTACAGCACCAGGTAAATGACTGGAACGGCGTGTCTGGGAAGAAAATTCAGTCAGAGCAGCACAACATGTATCACTTCAGCTCAATGCATCCCCATATTACCGCTCGGTGTCTCCTCCAACCCCCACTCCCCCAACTCCCATTCACCCCCGCTCCCCACCACAACCCCTCACTCAGTCCTCAGTCCATCAAGCTAGTCAGCTTTGGAAGTAACAGGGACATTGATGTGAATTTTAATAGCAGCAATGTTGAGGGAGGGGTAGGGACAGGCAATGTAATGAGGTGACACCACACCAGCTCAGACTGACAGCATAACACCTGGGGGAAACACCCCTGATTGTTCGAAGCCACCAAACTGTCATTGGAGGACCAACCTGAGTAACTAACAGAACAGTCAGTCAGAAAACCACAAGAAGCTTGCCCAATCTTTCACAGTTCCAACTGAAGTTATTGGTCATCTTGAATTACTTCGGGAGATTCACAGCCTCATGGCATTTTGTTCCAGTCCAAGCGAACTAATGGAAGATATTGGTGAATGGAAATTTGAACCATATTGGAAAGGAACTGACCCCAGAGAGAATCTGAGGGCAGAATCAGGCAAAGAGAGACTAATCTGCTGACATCTTATTTAGCTTGCCATGTGCTTAAGGAGTACCCAACTTCATCCTTAAGAGAGGAAAAGAAAATGTCCCTCTCTATGTTCTGAACACAGTGTCAATAAGGATACTGTAGCTCTGCGCGATTAGAAACATAGAAAAGAGGAGCAAGAGTAAGCCATTCAGCTGTTTGACCCTGCGCCTCCATTCAATGTGATCATGGCTTACCATCCAACTCAACATCTTGTTCCCATTTTCTCTGCATGTCTTTGATTGTTTCAGCCCTAAGAACTATATCTAATTCTGAGATTAATAATACAGTGCATTTCACCTGGTAAGCTCAGAAACGACCTGGTTAGTGACCCAAAATCCATGGCTCCCATCATCCATTGGGAAGCAAAATCTATTACACTGCTCAGAGCCGTGTCCCCAAGGTAGATATCTCAGTCATTGACACTATCTCAATGAAGCAGGTTGTAGATTAAGGGCAGCAGAAGGGCTACCTCTGCCATTTACACAGTCATTAACCAGCAGCTCTGCAGTGACAGCTTGTCTGTAAACTATACTGAGACATAACAGTCAAGAACAAGAGATGGCAATCAGCCCAAAGTTACTAATTGCACCAGTATTTTGAACATGCTTTCATGGACCAGATTATTCTAATCTTTCTTCACCCTTGTCCAAAGTATCACTGCCCACAACCCAACTAGCTCTAAGTTACATTCACCTAATTCCTCTGTATTTGCTAACCTTTAATTGTCTCCTCATCCACCAGCACCTCCATTTTTAGAATTCTAATCCCTGTGTTCAAACTAAGCTCTGCCTCAGCTCCGTGCCCAGTATTGACTTCTTCAACTCCACAGCTTTCTGCAATTGCACTTGTCCCATCCTGACCCTACTATACCACTGCAATATGGGATTCGTTCACTGTACTGACTGCAATGAGTCAAAACAGCAGCTCAGCTCTACCTTCTCATCGCCAACTAACGATGTGGAATAACCATCATCAATACTGACACTCCATGTGTAAACAAAAATAGCCTCCTCTAACCATTCCCCCAATCACTGCCCTTCTTATTATTCCTCCCAATCATTGCCCCCTCTCACTATTATCCCCCAGTCAGTGCTCTCTACAACCGCTTCATAATACTTGGAATGCCTTATGAAGATGGGTTAGATAGACTGGACTTTGTTGCACTGGACTTTAGAACAATGAGCGGTAACTGTATTGGAGTATATAAGATCTTGAATGGTCTTGACAAGGTGGGCATAGAAAGGATCTTCCTCGCGTGGATCAGTTTAGAAATAGGGGACACTGTTTTAAAAATTAGGATCTCCCTTGTAGGAGAGAGATAAGATTTTTTTTCTCCGAGAGTTGTGCAACTTTGGAACACTTTCAAAAAGGTGGTCGTGGTGGGGTGCAATTTAAGATGGAGTTGGATAGATTCTTGTTATGTTGGAGAATCCAATGTTATTGGGATGGGAATGTGCAAATCAAAATACACGCAGGTCAGTCTTATTGAATGGTGCAGCAGGCTTAAAGAGCCAAATGGTCTACTTTTCCTCCTAATTTGCATGTTTATACATCTTACCTCAGTGAGTGCCCTCTCCAATGGCGTCTCTCAATCATTGACCCTGTCACCATATCCTGTTTAATAGTAACCATGTCAGCTGTTTCACTTACAGTATTACCGTTTAAAACAAACATTAGACTTAGTAAAGATATGGAGAAAGGAGATCACAAAATCTTTGTGCTTCTGATTTTTCTGTTGGAACTGAGAATTTCATGTCCCTAATCTGTCCCATGTATAGGTCTCAGCGAAGTATCTTCACACTGTTCTATTTTTTTTCCTCTCCCGCTGTGCCCCATGTGCAACACGACTCATTAGTCACTTAAAATGGGTGCATGTGAGCATTGGGTACCTTTGAGAGTGTTTCCACTGGGCAGGATGGTCAGTGACTAGAGGACAACAGACTTTAAATAATTGTCGTAAGACAAGAGGCAAAATGTGAATTGGTTCTACACAGTGAGTTGTTGTGATCAGGAATGCAGTGCCTGTCAACAGCAAATTGAGTGTCTGCATGAAGATGAAAGTTAGCTGGGTTGTGAGAAAGGAGCAGGGGAAAAGGTCTAAAGAATAGTTCTTTCAAAGATAGTAGGAACTGCAGATGCTGGAGAATCCGAGACAACAAGGTGCAGGGCTGGATGAACACAGCAGGCCGAGCAGCATCATAGGAGCAGAGAGGCTGACGTTTCGGGCCTCGACCCTTCATCTTTCAAAGAGTCAGTATGGGCACAATGGACTGAATGGCTGCTTCCTGCACTCTGTGATACTACGTCTTTGCCACTCTAACAACCTATTGGTTTCCGCATTAAGAGTAAGGACAAAATATAAAAAATGTATAAATCAACAAAATGTACAGAGTCTAATTTTGTCATGCTAAAAATACTACTCCTCAAGGAAACTGGGGTCACAGGTCATATCCAAAATAAGAAAGAAAATTGATAGAGAGTAAATAAAGTCAAAATAATTTGAGGCAAACATGCTAATTATTTTGAAATTCTGTTTAATATCTCTATCAGTGACTGATGGAAAGCATCATTTCTGGCCAGCCTGAGGAGCCTGGTTAAGACTACAATATGGAGCACATTGTAGGGCTTGTAACAAAACAATCTAAGGAGACTTGATAGCACTACAATATGACTTCGACGGCTACATATGTTAAACCAGCTCCTTGTTTTTCTAACTGTTAAATATATTGACAGGGGTTTATTGGCAGTCATTTTGAATCGTCATTTATCTAAATGGAACACACATCATAGCCAGTGAACTGTGCATAGGCACGGAGACTAACAGGGGTATGGAAGATGGCTGGACAGTCAGTTCAACAGAAAATATTCCAGGATAGCATGCAGGGAACAAGCCAATAGCGCAGAATAGGTGAGTGCTCTGGGTTGAGTACTGGATCTGTGTTAGTGAGTACTATGTTGTTAGTGAATACTCTGTGTAGTGGACTGGTCAGTGAATATGGGGATGGGCTGTATGCTGCAGTGAGCTGCCTAGCATGTTAGATAATCTATAAAGAAGGAATCTTTTTTGGAACTTACTTCTGAGTAAGACATAATGTGTTTTATCAAAACAGGTTGAAAACAAAAGCATGTCAAAGATAGACAAATAAATCCATATTTGACACCAGTCTCTCTGCAGTGTTCCCCAGCAGCAGAATCCATTACCTACTACTTGGCATTCAACAGAGCAAGTTATGGCCCACAGCCCATGTTACTGAAATCCTTAAAAGGAAGCATAAAATCCAAATAAATATTTGATGTAGTGCAGTCAGAAATATTAAAAATCAATTGTATGTGCTGCTATTATTTTACAGATGACATCAGAGAAGTTTAAATAATTTGAAATACAGTCATTGAAGGATCATTAATGGCACTAAAGATTTAAAAATAACTTAGCCTGACAAATAAACAGAAATTCTAAGCTTACAGTGAGTGATCCTTACCTTGCTTAATATACAGGAACTCCGTAGCTACATAGTGCGTAAACTACATGCTAAATAGATAGAAACTCTGTACAGTTACACAGTGAGTGATTCTTACCCTGCTGAGTAACAGGGAGCAGTTTGTGATCAGTGTGATAATCTGGTTAAGCTGCCAGGAATGATGTTTCTCAGTATGCCTATTTTAGAACCCTCGCTGACTTTTTCATTCTTTTAACAATCTTGGTTTGGAGCTATAAACTGGAAACTGTGAGCTGAAGAATCATTAGCCACCATTTCCACCACCTCCGGCGAAATGCCACCAACAGACACATATTCCCCACCTTCCGCAGGGACCATTCCCTCCGGAACACTCTGGTCTACCTTTCCTTCACTCCCAACATCCCCCACAGCCCCACAGCACCTTCCCCTGCAACCGCCAAAGGTGTAACACCTGTCCATTTACCTCCTCCCTCCCCACAATCTAAGGGCCCAAATATACCTTCCAGGTGAAGCAGCACTTTACTTGCACACCCGGCACTTTTCCCTGCAACCGCAGGAAGTGCTACACCTGCCCCCATACCTCCTCCCTCACCCCCATCCCAGGCCCCAAGAAGACTTTCCACATCAAGCAGATGTTCACCTGCACATCTGCCAATGTGGTATACTGCATCCGCTGTACCTGGTGTGGCTTCCTCTACATCGGGGAAACCAAGCGGAGACTCGGGGACCGCTTTGCAGAACACCTACGCTCGGTTCGCAATAAACAACTGCACCTCCCAGTCGCGAACCATTTCAACTCCCCCTCCCATTCCTCAGACGACATGTCCATCCTGGGCCTCCTGCAGTGCCACAACGATGCCACCCGAAGGTTGCAGGAACAGCAACTCATATTCCGCTTGGGAACCCTGCAGCCCAATGGTATCAATGTGGATTTCACAAGTTTCAAAATCTCCCCTCCCCCTACCGCATCCCAAAACCAGTCCAGCTCGTCCCTGCCTCCCTAACCTGTTCTTCCTCCCACCTATCCCCTCCTCCCACCTCAAGCCGCACCTCCATCTCCTACCGACCAACCTCATCCCGCCCCCTTGACCTGTCCGTCCTCCCTGGACTGACCTATCCCCTTCCTAACTCCCTACCTACACTCACCTTTACTGGCTCCATCCCCGCCTCTTCGACCTGTTTGTTTCCTCTCCACCTATCCTCTCCTCTATCCCTCTTCTATCCGCCTCCCACTCTCTCCCTATTTATTTCAAAACCCCCTTCCCCTCCCCCTTTTCTGATGAAGGGTCTAGGCCCGAAACGTCAGCCTCTCTGCTCCTATGATGCTGCTTGGCCTGCTGTGTTCATCCAGCCCTGCACCTTGTTGTCTCGGATTCTCCAACATCTGCAGTTCCTACTATCTCCAGAATCTAGTCTACTGCATTGGCTGCTCACAATGTGGTCTCCTCTACATTGGGGAAACGAAGTGTAGACTGGGTGACCGCTTTGCACTACATCAATGATTTGCTCGCAAAAAAGGACAGAGCTTACAGTTACCTGCCACTTTAACACACCACCCTATTCCCTGGCCAGATCTCCGTTTCATGCTTGCTGCAGTGCTCCAGTGAAGCTCAGATTAAGCTGGAACAACATCTCATTTTTTGCTTGGAGACCCTGCAGCCTTCTGGACTCAATATTGAGTTCAATAACTTTAGGGCTTGAACTCTGCTGTGTCCTAGTCCCCACCCTCACACACCAGGCCTTGTGATCGCATAGTCAGCAATGACACACAATCCATTGTTAGCCACTAACAGTCTCCATTAACAGCTATTCACCCTCCTAGTCAGATCGTTATCAATTCCTTTGTCCAACTGCTCTTCTCTCTCTTTGGGCTGTATCCCAATCACCTATCATTTACTCCTTACTCCTTACCCCTTCCCCCACCCTATCTTCTGCATAAAAAACAACTTTTTCCCAGCTACCATCAGTTCTGTGGAAGGGTCACCGGACCTGAAACATTAACTCTGATTTCTCTCAACAGATGCTGCCAGACCCGGTGAGCTTTTCTAGCAATTCCTGTTTTTGTGTCCATGTAATAACACTGTACACAAGTTGTACTGTATCATTATGTGCACCCCTCTCGCTTTCATTGTAGAGCACTACAGCTGACATCCTGTATCTAACATTGTCCAATCTTCCAGGAGTCTCACTTGTATATTTGCCAATCGTGTAGGACTGAGAGGGACCTGTGTTTCTGTCTTCAGGCAAGAGACAGCTCTTAGGCTACCGCAGGGATCTGATCTATCAAAAAATTGTTATGGTGCAGAAAGAGGCCATTCAACCCATCCTGACTCCAGCAGCTGAACAACTGCCTTTTCTCTGTGCCCTTCTGTATTGATTCTATTTAAATAATCATCCAATGCCCTCTTGAATGCCTCGGTTAAACCTGCCTCCATCACTTTCCCAGGCAGTAAATTCTAGACCTGAAACACTCATTGTATGAGATAAGGTTTTTCTCGCATCACATTCTTTTCATTTGTAAATTATTCTAAACCTCTGCTCTCTCATTCTTCATCTTTTTACAAGCAGGAACAGTTTCTTCCTGTCTATCCTGTCCCTTTATGATTTTGAAAATGTTTATCAAATTACATCTTAGCTGTGTACTGTCTGAGGAGAATAGTCCCCAATGCAACGTGTTCTCATAATTGATGCTTCTTATCCTTGGAAACATTCTTGAAACATCTTCTGCAGTCTCTCCAATGTGTTGATACCGTTCCTTTAGTGTGGTACCCAGAACTGTACACATTATTCCAGCTGAGGTCTAACAAGTGTCTCATACATGTTTAGCGTCACCTCTTTCTTTTGTATTCTGTGATCTTGCGTCTTTCACCCCTTTGATTCTATCGAAACGGCAGAACATAGCATCTCAGACAAGGCGGAAGAATGGAGGAATGGTGAGTTGGAGGTTCATTGTCCAGAAACACAACCTTAAAAGAGGACGTACATTTCCACAGCTGATCACACCCTTGAGATACCCTAAAGTGTTTCACATCCAGTCATGTACTTTAAATTACAACTACTGTGGTTGGCGCACAATGTTAAACACATCTGTAGGATTGAAGTTTGTTAATCCAGAGAGGTTTCTTCAAGGGATCCACAAACATGAAAGGAATTACTGAGGACGGCTGTATTTTACGTGAAATATCAATGTGAGTATAGAAGACCGGGATTGGGCATTGACTGCTTGCTGTCTAGGTTGTCATCTCTTTTTGTCTCCTTACAGCCCACCAGTGAGGAAGATCTGTGCCCAATCTGTTACGCTCACCCCATCTCTGCCATCTTCAGGCCGTGTTCACACAAATCCTGCAAGTAAGTCCAGTGCAAGCTAAACTTGAGTTTGAGTCCCTATGTACTTGGACTTTGTGACAATGTTTATATATTGGATTCTCCCCAGACCCTACCATCAAGTGTTTAAGTCCTGCCCTGATTTGCCTTTCCAAAATATAGCACCTCACATTTAACTAAATGAAACTCCATTTGCAACTCTTCGGCCCATTAGCCCATCTAATCAAGGTCCCCTTGTACCCACCATTTAACCCAACAAGACTATTCCAGTGTTTATATTCCCACATAGACCTCCTCCCATCCTCCTTTATCTGACTTGATGATCCTATCCTTCTATTCCTTTATCACTTAAAGAGCTACTACTCCTTACAGGCATGTACAGACTTTATCCATATGGTACCAAGTTCCTCCTCCTAACTATCCTTTGGTTAAGAAACTTTCTCCGTGTTCTCAATTAGATTTATTTGTGAATATCTTATATTTATCATCCCTGATTTCGGACACGTCATAAGTAGCAATGTCTACTTTAACTTATTGAATATCTTCAGAATATTTAAAATCCTCCACCAGATGCCCTCCTCCATCACTCCAGCTTTCCCTTTGAGCAGAAATACCAAAATACATATCAGGAACAGAAATAGGACTAGGCCATTCAGCCCCTCGAACCTGCTCGACCAGTGAGATCATAGCTAATCTAATTGTAACCTGACATCCACATTCCTGCTTACTCCTAATAACCTTTCATCCCCTTGTTTAATAAGAAGCCACCTCTGCCGTAACAATATTTAAGGACTCTGCTTCCACCACCTTTTCAGGAAGACAGTTCCAAAGACTCATGACCCTCTGATGAGGAGCTTCAACAGTTCATCAACTTTACTAACACCTTTCACCCCAACCTCAAATTCACCTGGACCATCTCTGATACCTCTCTCTTCTTACTTGAGCTCTCTGTCTCCATCTCTGGTGACCACCTCAAAACCGATATCTATTTCAAGCCTACTGACTCCCACAGCTACCTAGACTACACCTCCTCTCACCCACCTTCCTGTAAGAATGCGATCCCCTATTCCCAATTCCTCCGCCACCACCGCATCTGCTCCCAAGATGAGGCATTCCACTCCCGCACATCCCAGATGTCCTCTTATTTCAAGGACCGTAACCTTTCCCCCCTTTGGTGATCGAAAATGCCCTCAACCGCATCTCTTGCATTTCCTGCCCTTACAACCCCTCCCCCCAACAATAGTAAAGACAGAATCCCTCTTGTCCTCACATATCACCCCACCAACCTCCGTATCCAGCATATCATTCTCCGCCACTTCCTACAATCCAACCCCACAACCAAAGAGATATTTCCCTGTCCACCCCTATCTGCCTTTCATAGGGACCGCTCTCTCCGCGACTCCCTCATCCACTCCACCCCTCATCCACTCCACACTCCCCACCAGCCCCACCATCCCCGGCACCTTTCCCTGCAACAGCAGGAAGTGCTACACCTGCCCCCACACCTTCCCCCTCGCCTCCATTCAAGGCATCAAACAAACATTCCACATTAGACAGGGGTTCACCTGCACATCCGTCAACTTGGTCTGTTGCATCGGCTACTCCCGATGTGGCCTCCTCTATATCGGTGAGACCAAGTGGAGACTCAGAGACCGTTTTGTAGAGCATCTGTGTTCTGTACGTGACAAATGACAACACCTTAACATGGTCGCCAACCATTTCAACCCCCCCTCCCACTCCCTGGGTGACATGTCCATCCTGGGCCTCCTCCAGTGTCACAATGACGCCACCCGCAAATTGGAGGAGCAGCACCTCATATTCTGCCTCAGAAGCCTACAGCCCAATGGCCTAAACATGGATTTTGCCAGTTTCAAAATCTCCCTACCCCCCAACCTCATCCAACACCAACCCTCCCTCTCATTCCCAGCACCTTGACCTGACACAACCTGTTCATCTCTTCTCCCACCTATCCGCTCCTCCCACCTCACTGACCAATCTCCACCACTGCCTACCTGCACTCACCTATCACCATCCCACCTACCTTCCCCAGCCCCACCCCTCCTCTCTATTTATTTCTGAGCTCCTTTCCCCCTCCCCATTTCTGAAGAAGGGTCCCGACCCAAAACGTCAGCTTTCTTGCTCCTCTGATGCTGCCTGGCCTGCTGTGTTCATCCAGCTCCACACTGTGTTGTCCGTGACTCCAGCATCTGCAGTTCTGACTACCTAACCTGTCCAACTTTTCCTCAAAAAGACAGCCCAAATATTCCAGGTATTATTCAAATAAACCTTCTCTGAACAGCCTCCCAAGACATTTCCTTCGTTGCTTAAATAAGGTGACCAGAACAATGCACAGTACTCTCAATGCAGTCTCACCAATGCTTTGTATAATTGAAGCATAACCTCGTTGTTTTGTTTGGTTTGCTGCTCAAATTTCAAACACTTACTGCAGGCCTGTTTTCTGTGGACCAAAGTAGTATTTGCTAACTCCCACATGTTGCGATTGTCCTGCCATCCTTAATGTGTTCTAGGAAACTTCTTAACTAAATATTAAAGTAAATTCAGTATTTATGTTTTATATATTTTATTAATCATACCATCAGTTGCTATACAATTTTGAACTTTAGGAATAGAATGAATCTTAATCACCATATGTTTACCAATTACCAACTTCTCCTATAGTGGAACAAGAATCAATTCCTGAAAGCTGAAAAAGTTTAGGCAAAAATGACAGAATACTTCTTTCCCTTCCTCTGCCTAACTCCATCACTATACTGCAAGTCACACTCAGGTGCTAAGTCATACTAAGTTGGCACATTTTATATGTGCTTGAGGCCTATCTGAGTCATTTAATGAGGGTCCCGCTACAACTGGTTCTTAATTAAGCTACTGTTCAACTGGAACTCTGGAAAAATCCCTGCTTAAAGCTGATAACCATAGAATTGAAACTGTAGATTTCAGGCAAAGAGCACTAACCTGCCTAGTTTTTCCTGATAGTTGTAGCCTTTCTGTTCCAGTTCATCCTTGTTAATGGTTATGGTTCGATATAATTTTAATGTAATTTCTCTGCTTTTGAAGTTGATTCCTTTAGCCATGAATCTGTCTCTGATTTTGTTTTCTCATGGACTTAGTAACCTGCATTGTGACTTTGTAAATCTGTATGTATTCCTATTTACATTCTTAAATTCCAGGGAATGTGTGGCCACTTTATTTCTCTCAGCAAAATGCAGCACTGCACACTTATCTAAAATCTATACTGGGGAGTATAAAAGCAGGCCTTACGGCCAATCATTGCCAGCATTTATGCTGTCCTCTATCCTTGCCCTAACCTTCTCCATCTGATCAACATCACCCTCTATTCCCTTCTCCCTCCATTGCTCCTCTATATTCCTTTTTGATGCATTTATACTATTCTTCTCAACTATTCCCTGTACTAGTGTATTCTATTTTTCATAGCTCTTTAGGTAAAGAAGTTTCCTCCAAATTCTCTAGTGCATTTCTTATACCAATAGCCTGTAGTCACACACTTCACAAGAGGAAACAGCTTCTCTCCGTGACAACAAGGTGCAGGCCTGGATGAACACAGCAGGCCAAGCAGCATCATAGGAGCAGAAAGGCTGACGTTTC